ATTGATGAAATCGCCTATCTTATCTTTCAAGAACAAAATTGTCTTTCTGATGGATTGAGCCTACATGTTTTTTCTTTTATCTATGAAACCGTACTTCATATACTGCGTAATATATTTGAGAGTAAAACTCTCGAGAATTATCAAACGTATTTGTATCTTTAATGCACAATATAATATAATAAATTAGAAGTAGAATTGACAACTCTCGATAATTTTAAAAAAAGTATCCTTTTAACCTAACTTAACTTAACCTAATCTGAGAAATTAATCTAACACAAATTTAACAGTTACTCGAAAATATGCAAATGGATATAACGGAAAAGAGTTAACGACTTCAAGGAAACTAATCATCATTTTCACCAAGGTTAGTGTTCATGATATAAAATCTTGTATCATTACAAAATACTTGTATCATTATAAGAACTCCTTATCACTAATGAAACGGTAAAAGTTCGTGTATTATCGACAAATATCTCAGACGATAGGTCAGACTATTTGGCATGCAAACACACTGGGATACTAATGGCAATGATTCTCGTTTAGGTAAAGTTCTATTGCACAAGCACATCTCTAATCATGGCAATACCATTTACAGATACCACCAGGAAGAGTGGACCTCCATCCATTCCCCATAAATGGCGCACCTTCTCGAGGAAACGAGTATCCAGTTAACCGTTCTGGCATTACGAACTTGTTACGTAGAATTTTATAAATGCGAATCATCTTTGTTATCTAAGTTATCTAAATTTTCAAAATGTCTCGAGTTTTATCTTATTTTCTTTTTTTTTTTTTTTTTTGCCATTATTCTTCCTTAGAATAAATCAAACTGTTTCTAAATTTCTACAATGAAAGATTTATCGTTTTTGTCTTTATACTTCTTGTAAATTAAATTATTTTTAGATTTTGTTTGATATCCCTAATTTTCCAATATGTTTATGCAATGCATATATAGATGAGATTAAGTTATATTGAAAAATCGAATATTTTATCTAAAAATGGGATGTATAGAAATTTTCGAATTAAAGAGGTTGCTAAGATTTTTTCATATTATATTAATGCATATTTTAACTGCGTTTAAAATTCAATATTTTCTCATGGTTTCGCGACACAGTTTCGCATTCGAACGGTTTCTGATCAATCACACGATCTCTTCGAATGCACGCGAAAAATATGCATATATCGATGACAAGTTTTTAATATATTAAAGCGGAAAGTGGAGCGGAAACGCGGAGAAGCGTGTCTACCCTCGTGATTACGCACTGTCATTTAAACTTCATGCAAGAGAGAACAATAGCTTTCCCTAGTCGTTAATTTAATTAATTATTAGCTACATAATAAAACGCGTGTATTATGTTTCTTACTACTTCACCAATTTTTTTATTCTAACCTCGTCTCCTGAAATATGAAAGTGTTGAGTTGATGACTTCTTCGTTTGACAAAAGATTATACTAATTTTAATTGTATAATTTTCTAGAATTTCGAAAATATATCTATGAAAATTGAAATTTTTTTATTAAAAAAAAAATTGAACTTTATTTATTAAAAGATAAAGATAGAATTATATTTCAATGTATCTTAAAAAATAAATTAACTAGATAGGATAGTATTCTTCACTATATTTGATATTTTTATTTGATATGTTCAGGATAATTTCACTTGCTATCAATTTATTAGATTTATAACTATATTTCGTATTCTAAATGACTACGATTGATTAACATATATACACGATTTATTATTATTTGACGTTTCAATAAAGAAGTATAAGGGAACTAGATTATGCATATGAATATTAATTAAGTTTGTGAAATAAATGTCATTTTAATGGTAATAATCAAATAAAAGTTTAAATATTTTAGCATGTTTTAAAAAATAAAAATAAAAAAAAAAGAAGACACTAATAGAAATTTTCAAATTATAAATCGAGCAAAGATTCTCGAATTATATAATCAATTAGTGACTTATACGAATAATGAGTAATATATATTAAAAATTAAAAAAAAAGATCAAATGAGATATATTATGTAAAGAATATAGAGGTTAAAGTTATCAACTATCGATTGTATTATAGCGAGATTTGAAAGGAAATATGACGGCACATATTTCTAATTCTTTATCAACAAAATTTTTTATCAACATTCCGTCAAATACGGTATATTACGGATCACAGGAATTGCAACGGCAATCACTGTATGCAGTGTAGTACGTACGGACGCCGGAAGTCCCGTTAGTCAACCTTAAGGTTTAAGGTTCGTTTCTCCGAGAGTATTACTTCGATCTCACTTGCATTAATATCTCCACGCGTGAGTCGCAAAAATATAAATAATAATACAATTGATAAATAATATTATAAATTCAATTGATTATAGAGTTAATATTAAATTGTTAAGAACAACCGCGATAAATCTACGCGAAAAAGGATTATTGGATTACCTATTACTGTCCAAAGTTTTGTCGATGAGATATTTACGTAGAGATAATTTTCAGTGAAAGTCGTAATGGAACCTGAACTGGTTTCGATAATATCTCCTTAGTTATAAGTTGATAAGTTATACAGAAATTTCCAATGAAAACTCGGCAAAACTCATAGGAAATTTTTTTCGAAAAATTTCTTCCAATTATTAATTTTTTATAGAATATTTCATGCTATTTTCAAATAATAATATTTGAAAATATATTTTCAAATAAATTTCAAAAAAATCCTTTTCTTTATTAATTAAATTTTCTAAATTTAAATTAGATTATAATTCGCGCGCTGAAGTTACGGCGGGAAATATGATTATCTCTACTATTATTTCGTTTGGCTCAAATATCATAATTCTTACCAGACAACAATATTTTATGATTTTGTTTTATATAACTTGGTAATTACTTTACTAACAAAATTTTTAAATATTTTTTTATATATTTTATAATTTTTTTTATATTTTACTATTAATAATATATTTCTTTAATATTTGAAAAGTATTAAGATAATTTTATAATCAAAAATAAAGAATTATATAATATTAATATATTTATTTTGATGCATCATCAATTTTTTATATACAAATGAAAGTCTATATACAAACAATTAAATTATATTGTTAAATTAATTTGCAAAAATAAAATTTAATTACATTATTAATGTTGTAACAATACAATTCATTATTTATTTCTCAAAAATCTTAGGACAAGGACTTAAAAAGTTTTATGTAAGTTGATATTTAAAATATAATAAGGAAAATATAAATTTTATCAAAAACAAATATCATATGATTTTTTTTGCATAATAGGTCAAATTGAACCAAACAAAACAGCAGAGTTAAAAATATTACCTATTTTTATACCTATTTCATATATTTAGAAATTTGTACCATCGTTTCAGACACAATACGTGTATACATATAGATAATATAAATAATCACGACTTCTTTATGGCTTCGTGTGAAAGCGCCATTCCACTTGACTCCTGCTATATGCTACGACATACAGAAAGACGAGACTCTCGTTCGCACGGGGGGTCACAGCTAGCCCTGAGGGAGCAGTCATTGACATTGAGAGAGAGAGAAGGGAGAGAGACCGTCGAGAAACGTGACTAATATCGTGGTGCTACCTTTATATGGAAGCTTTTCGTATTTTCTATTCGCCGATAGCCACCTGTGGAATCGGTGATCACGAGCTCGATTTAAATTGAATCATTAGTGCCTGAATGTATACACCATTGAATCGTTCTTTCAAGTTCGTGCTATGAATCGTATTTGTTGTCTATTGGTCCATTATAAATTGAATTTATCTTATATCGTTTATGAAACGAGATATATTAGTTTATGAAAAATAAGATGGAATAGAAAGAACGTTTAAAGCATATGAACAATTATGGTAGCAATATCAAGTAAATTATATGGTAAGATAACATTAAAAAGTATATGCACGTTATCTGAACATTTGTTTAATTATACGCTTGTTTAATTGGCGCCAGAAAAGTTCAGATAATAAAAAAAATGCAATTACTTCTTGAAGATTTTATGAAATATCATAAAAGATATAATTCATATGCAGAATGGAAGATATGATTCAAAATAAGATTGGAATCACGGAAATTGTATTGACGATATTATTTAATTTTCAAAAAAATTAGTCGAATGCACATACACCTAACCTAACCAATAATTGATTTCACTATAGTTTATTATTTTAGTACAAGACACAATATTAAAACTTATTTTTTAAAAATATTTATCAAAAAGTTCAATATTTATTCAAAGAAATATTTTATTGATTCTTAATCAAACGTAAAAAATTATTATTCATAATAAAATCATTTAAAATATTCTAAAAAGATGTTTTAAGAAATGAGACAGAGACACGATTTACCGTATTTTAATTTGCTTGGTTGATATAGAAATTCTGAATAGTGCTAAAACAGGTTTCTCGCGAACGTCTTATTTCCGACGATTCAGTATTCGACAGTTGTTCTGCTGGTTCGTATTCGTCGAGGTTTATTGCCTCGAGCAGCGTAGAAAGTATAACGCAAATCCTTTTGATAAACTGTAAACGGTCATGGAGATATATAAAGACAAATAAATAAGGAACGATTCGTTTCTAACGATGTTCGTCCAAGTGTCAATCTCGTAGCGGGATTTGATCATTCTATCTAACAGAAATGAAAAAAATTCTTTTGGTATATAAATTTTTAAATAAAAATTTAAAATGTCTGTCAAATCTTCCACAGAAACACTTAACTAAATGACATTCCAACATGACGATTCCTATCGACTATACCTCCCCTCTCTTCGAAACGATCACTTTTAAAAATGTATTCTGAGTCGAGTAATACGTAACTGAAACTTGAACAAAAACATTCCTATTGGATCTTCCAGAACAATCACTCGTATTGACCAATCACGTAAATTCCTTTGAACTCTTCTCACGAAATAGAAAGATTATCCTTTTTTTGCACGAAAGCAAAGGATTAGATTAATCCTAAATCGCAAAATAACACTTTTGATAAACGTTACCCTTGTTCCTCTTCAGTAGTCGGCGGTCCCTGTTGCGCGATGCGAAACACGTCCATCGTCGACATGGTGCTCCGCTGGCCAGCACACTGTTGACACACGATCACAGGTCACATATCGACGCCACTTTTCTCCTATCATCCGACCGTTAAGGATACTTTCCTCGATTCGAATTCACGTACCGATGCCGCGCACTCACGATCCACGTGTGAATGCGCGCTAGCTGTACAAGTTAAGTATATGTCCAGGTTAGCTGGCGCCCGTCAAGGCTAATACTGCCACAAGAATGGTGCGTGTTGAAGCCGATATATCCAAGATCGTGCCGGTAGCGTAACAGGTTGCGAGTCTACATCGATTTTCTACGATCTACGGCTGGCCCAGAGCAATCGATCGTTCGTATCGATCGAAAAGCAGTGAAGAGCGACGCACGGCAGCGACCAACTCACTGCAGTCTCGTGTAGTGTCGCAGCGAGAAACGGTCACGCCGCACCTCTGCCTCTGTTGCCGCTGTTCCTTCTACCTGTGCACAGCTACGCACACCACCATTTTTCTTTTACTTGTGTGTACCGGGCCGTCGTTGTCGTAAATGCTCGTTTGTCGCGGACGAAACGCGTTTCTTCTACCTGCAACGCTCAACACTGTCAAAGTAGCGTAGAGATGCTATTAACCACTGTATACACCGCTATCTTTCGGTTGTCGTATACACTCATATATATAAATTTTTCCACTAATACTACGGCACAATGATATACATATACATGCGATATTTATCTTTAACTATATTGTGTACGAACAGGTTCCACGCGGTTGTATATACATATATATAGAAGTACGCTAGATTGACACCAGTCGCGCTTGTGTTGCGTGATGACACACGTGTCTTTCGCGTATGTACAGGTAGATGGTGTTCCTTTCATTTGCATATTTTCTTGCACGTATACATTTCAATGAACGTGAATGTTTACCATATCTGTGTATGTACTTGCTTTCTTTGGCTTATTAGAAAAAAATACACGCGAGGACTTTTCCCTTTTCGCCAACACAACATGCAGACGTTGATATATACTTTGCTTGTAAAAGGATAGGTTAGTGTGCTTCGTGCTACACCGATGCGTTTGACTCACGTTCAGACGCATTTCCGTTTACCTGCGTTGGGGATATATACCGACATGTGATTTCCATCTGTGTAACGGTCCACGTATACAAACGGAGACATTTATGTATCATTCGTGAAACAGTCGTACGAACACGTTCTTCTATCCGACTATATGTACAAAAATAATATTTCTTTGATTAGTGTGTGTGTGAGCGGTGCTACAAAGAAGAATGGTTCCTTTCATTCGTGTATCGATTCTTATACATCGATATTTATCCTGGCTAGTCGTGCGTAAACGTTACACGAACACATTTCATCATCTATGCACACATGCAACGGTAAAAACTTACTTATTATATATATATATATATTCAGATCGATTGCTCGAATATAAAGTTCTTTTGGAGCAAACGCGATCTTTTTGAGTATTGGGATCTTCAATATACGAAATTGTGATAAATCTTATATTATTTCTGTAATGTTAATAAGGCAATATGTTATATGGTTTGAATTTAAAAAAAGAAAAAAAAATAAATAAAATGTTTGCTTATACGATGAAAGTATTATTAACATAATTTCCTTTATGAAGATTGTCTTTTACTTTCACCTATTCTGAATCCTAGTATTACATACTTAATACCACTTTATTTATTATGAATTTTATTTTACATATAATAATTATTTTTAAAATTCATTTTTCATAAATATTATAATCTAATTCAAAAATATTCTTTTTTTTATTAAAATATATTAACAATCTTTATGAAAATATATGAAATTTAAATGACTGTAAATGTTTAAATAGAAAATGCTAATGTTTGAAGAAAGTACAGTTCGTTAAGTGAAATATCTCTGATTGACTACTTCTTATTCGGTTTATTTAAGATGTTTGTAAGTGTACTAATGAATCTATTTGACATTATATATTTTTTAATTTTGATTATAATTTTAAAGATATATTTTTAAATTTTTTCTTTAATAAAATATAAATAATTTTTTGATTCTAATAAAGCATTTAAAATGTATTTGTTTATATAATATGAGTAAATTATATTATTTTTAATCTATTTTAATCTAATTTATAAAATAAAAATTAAATATTTTCAATAAATTTGCTGTAAATAGATATAAAAAAATAATTTTATAAAATTGTTTTCATAAAATTTTAAAATTACTATAAAATTAACATCAAATATTTATAATACATATAATTATTATAATATATAAAAATTATAGTAATATATGTACAACAAATTTTAAATTTTAAGAAAAAAATTAATATTGTTGAATATAACAAAATATAAATAAAATAAATAGAAATATTTTTGTTAAATTAAATAAATAAAAGATATATTTCTTTCTATGTATAGTTTTGGATAATATATTTCTATATGCGATTCACGTTCACACTCCGGATGGAAGTGTACAGTCACGTAAGATGCATTTGATCGTAAGTCATTGCTAGTGCAGCAGGTTTGAAATACATAGCAACAAAATTGTTAAGCAAATAAGAATTGAATAGATCATTATACATAAAAAATTGTAATATTTTTTTATTTATTAAAATAAAATAAAATATTAAATTATTCAACATGCACATGCAAAAAATAAAAAAAGAAAGACAATATGATAATTATTATTATTAATTATATTTAATATTATTAACACAATTTGAGTAAAATTAAAAAATGTTATTGAGATTATTTACTTACAAAACATTATTTATAAAACACAATCATGTGTATATAAAGTGAAGTCTTTTATTCATTTTTTATTTTGATTACTAATTATATCTATAGAGTGTATAAAAAATTTATACATTTATATAAACAAAGAAATTGAACATGAATTGCTTAATTTTCCTACAATTTTTATATTTTTTATATATTATATTATTCCATTGTATTTTTATATTTAATTATTTTAATTTTATATTTAGAAAAAATTTTCACATCGAATTAATTCAGTCACATAAATGTTAGCATATTTTTCATACACTCTGAGTGGAATTATTAAATTACGAATACTCGATTTGTATTATATTTACATTTTATCTCATCGGACGTTATAATGTACAAGACGAATACATTAATAAAAAATTTTCGAATTAAAAAACACAAATTATCATTAATGACTTATATTTTACAAAATATTTTTTATCATATTAAATAATACTATGATATATTTATTTATAGTTAACTCTTACGAGTGAATGAATTAAAATCAATTGAAACAAAATTAATTTTTTAAATAATCATAACTTTCATTATAATTTTCATTATAATTTCATCCAATAATTATAACTTATTAATATTTTTATACATAAATAAAAATCATGAATTTTTTGATTTCTTTCATTATATTCATTATTATAAATACATTATAAATAAATGCATTTTTCGAGAGTAATGTTTAAAGCTTAGTTTTTTTTAAATCGTAATAAATCGAATATATTGGACTGATATAAATTTTATATAATTCGAAATTATATATTGAAATTTATGGCATCGTAGAAAATCTCATTTTATGAAAAAAAATAAAAAATAAAAATTATATCGCATTATGATTAATTCGATTTTATGTCTTTAATAAAAATTTCATTTTTTATATACACATTCTTTCATTCATTTATTCTCACGATTGCACTTGTACGACATTTACTTTCATATGTTAATAAGACTATTCAAAGTGACTTGCAATGAAAAGTGCAATGACTTACACTTTAAAAATTTTCTCTTTACAATAATCTTATAAATTACGATTGGACCAAGTGTATGTTAAGATATAACATTCATTATGCGAATATATCTATTTGAAAACCGGAAGTTATATTTACATGGCCCGTTAAGTTATTTTCATGATAGAAACGTAATATATATTATGTATCATCTTGCTTATATGAATTTTTTTAAATCAAATAAGCATACTTTGTTTATATCTTGATTTTTAAACGAAATATACATCAAAATATTTCATATATAGATGATCCATTGTTACTCGTAGTGTATTTGAAACGATCGAGAAACAGCGGGAAGAAGCGATTAAAAAGATTCAATTTGATTAGTGTATTGTCAGTAGTGAAAAAAATTTAGTTGTTAAATTTGATTGTAGAAACAAGTTATTTGTTAAAAGTGAAACAATAAAGAAAACAACTATGAAGAACATTTTACTTCATTCACATTACGTATGTATAAAATATAAATGGAATATATTTTTTTAAAACAATATAATGATTATATCACACAATTTTACGTAGCATTATGTGCATTCATGATACCATTATATAAAATAGAACTTTTTAATATTATTATATTATCAGAGGTTATGTTCAATAAAAGAAAATTTATACTTTACCTTTGTACTATATTGTGCTTCAAATCATTTTAACACATATTAACATTAAAATATAACAATATTCATTAAATTATTTGAATTATTGCTTCAGTATATACAAATGTTCTCAATAATAATTTGAGAAACATATAAAAATTTTATAAATATCAATTTAAATTTCATTTGACAAATTTGACAACTTGAATATTTTTCTTTTTCAAAGTATTGTATCATGTCATTGTATATTTCAGATAAAAATATGAGGTACATGTATATCATAAAATTGACATTTGTTATCCAACAATTTATAATACAAATGTATATAATCTTAAGTTTTATGCAATAATTAAATCAGGTTAAGGTATTATATTAAAGTTGAACTTACTCGGGCCATGTAAGTATATCACAACTATATACGTTCATACATACATATACATTCAACAAACATACAAATTATTCTTAAGATACATACATTAACCATACTCACACTTTGCTGCTCAATGTATTCATTCTGTTTACAACTAATTCTCTACTTTGATACCTGATTTTGATGTATATTTAACTAGATTTAAATCGCAAATTTTTAATTAACAAATAAATTTTAAACAAGAACAATTCCAATTAGTTTTAATAAATTCAGAAATCTGATATCACATAGTGAGAACATGCTATTTAAACTACTTTTTTTTGCAAGAAATATGAAATATATCAAATGAAAGAATCTATGTCAGGCATCAGGAACAATTATATAATTATCGTGATTCAGCTTTCGTTTTAGGAGGCCTAAAAGCTTTTAATTTTTTTGCTTTCTTTTGTTTTGTGGCATTAGCACCAGATTGAAAAGCTTTCCAACTATCAACTCTTGATTGTCGAGATTCCTCAAAATTTTTTTGCCACTCACGTTCTAATGCAGCTTGTGCTTCTGCAGATAATTCTTCTTCTCGTTTCCTTTTACGTTGTTCTGCATCTCTAGTTGCTAATTCTCTCCTATACAAGAAAGAAAAAGAAAAAAATAAATTACAAATAATTCGATCGATTTTGTGAACTTTTGAATTATTATTATTATTATTATTATTTTTTAAATTAACCTTCTTCTTTCCATATCAGCAAAGAGTTTCATTGTCATAACCCAAACTGCATGCTTGTAACCTTCTTCTGTCTCTTCTTCAAGTATATTTGCACTTTCTGTTTTTCCTTCTTTTTTCATTTTTTTCTTTTTTTCTGCAATCTAATAAATTTACAACCATTATATTTATTACACATATATATTTTTTATATAAAATAAAAAAGATTCATTATTCATACCATATGATCAGTTCTAGCTTTTGCTTCTTCAATAACATCCATGCATTTAGCTCTAGTTTCTTCATTTTCCAATGTTTTCCATGCTTTGTTAACAACTAATACAATCAAACAAATAATACTTATAAATAATCAAACAAATAATATTTATAAATTGAACATTTATCATTCTATGAAATAAAAATTGATATATACTTTCAAATGCTTGTTGTGCACGTTCTGCATCATCTTGATTTTTATCAGGATGTACAAGAATTGACATCTATAAAATAAAAATATATTATAATTATTAACATATATTATAAAATTTATACATTATAATAAAAAAGAAAATTAACTTACACGTCGATATTTTTTTTTGATTTCATCTATAGAAGTGGATGGATCAATTTGTAATACTTCAAAAGGATTTAAATTAAAATAAGACGATCCGGGTCGTAATAATCTGTCGATTTGTTGTTTAGGAGTTAAAACCGAATCTCTTTTTTCTATTTCTTTTACCTAGAAGAAAGAGAATTTTTTACAGCTCATAAAATATCTATTTGTTTGGGCGCGAATATATTCGTACAGGTTAGGCTTATTTATAACTCGAAAGTTTATTAAAAAAGCAATTCACTTTATAATATTTTAAGAAATGACAGGTATTAGTTTTTAAATAACGAAAAACTATATAATATATTGTACTTTAAATACGATTTATTATTATTGTTTAAAGCATACATAGTGACGTTTGTTAACCCTTAAAATAAGGTAAAAGTATTTACAGTTATATAATCGAGAATTATATCAAAAATTGATTTTTACACAGGTGAATATTCTAACGGTATCACATCATTCTGAATTTACATACTTCGGAATAAAATTCATTGAATTCGTCCTCTTTCTTAGTTGGACTATCACTGGATATATTCGAGTTGGTAGCAGCCATTTTGATTGTTACTAACTTCCATGCTGTTAGTAGTGCCGCCTGTTAAAATTTAACATTCCGAGTAAATTCACTTTTGTTCTATTTATTCAAGAAAATTGATGCAAAAATTTATTACTCTTATATTCACTCATAGAAAAATTTAGTAATTGATCGATAAATTAAATTAATTAAATTAATTTAACAATAAGTATAAGTAATATTATATAACTTATATAAATAAAACAAAGATTTAATAAAATTATATATATATGTTATATACAATATATATAATTGGAAATGAAAGGAATTTAAATTGAATTAAATAGTCTTTTAAAATCTTATAATATTTTATTAACAAAGCTTAACAACCAATAAACAAGTGAAGTTTTATAGCGGTAACAAAGATATAGTAAACGAAATTAAAATCGTACATTTAATATACACTGCATAAGATTTTTTCAAATCAATGGACTAACACTAATTTTTATGACTAGTCTAGCATGTACATATAACTACTTTCTATCTTCCATTAGGAAATACAGAATGCGTAAATAGGAAGGTGTAAATACTAGTACAACACTATAACATATAGCATATTATTTTTACTAATCTAGCATGATATCTAATAGCTAATCGTGTACTATTGAACACCAGTTCATACATAAACGCATTATTTTTAATGTTATCTATGAGAGCCAGTCTGTTTAAGGAACGCGATTATAAACACACAGTTTCCTTGTAACATTTTCTTTACTTATTAACATACGTCACGTTCATCTGTTAACTAGTTACATGAATTGCAAACTAATTGTTTTTACTTACATACATCGACATTATACAACTCGCCGCCTATTTTCTGTTTTTTTTTTTAATTCTATATTTTTTTAATGAATTCTTTTTTCAAAGAATCTTAACATTTGTTGTCACAAAATAAAAATTTTTTTTAACTCTTTCAATAATATGATCAATTTCGATATTTTAAATTTAGATTTCTTGAATCAATATAAAATAAAATATAATATATATATAATATATATATTTTATATTATATATAATATAAAATTAATATAAAATATTAAATAAATGTAAGTTTATTATATTATTTATATAAATATAAAATAAAAAAATGAAAAGAAACTTTAATAAGTAAATTTTTCAAAATTATTTATTAGTAAAAAAGTTAAAGAGTTTTTAAATATATATATATATATATATATTAATATAAAATTTGAAAAGCAAATATTTAGTGAGGTTTTTTTTAAATAAGAAAATTATTAAACTATTTGTTTAAAATAACACAGATTTTGTACATATTTTAAATGTCAGTAACAACAAGGTTAAGATTCTATTTTTTTATTGAAGCAGTTATTAAAACATCAAAAACTTTAGTTGAACACGAAATAGTCAGGACATTAATGTTTTTTTACTCTTTTTTTTTTGTTTTTGATAATGTACGTCGTTTGCATCAAATATATCATTTATGCATTATACTTATAAAAATGATTTTCTTCATTATTTAAACGTAATTTATAAAATTAAATTTTTCACTTTAACAAACAAAAATACTCACAAAATATATAATATAATTTACAATCAATTAAAATTTATATTATATTTTAATTACACTTTAATAAATTATCAAATTTATATTATGAGAACTGATCAAAATTGAAATATTATCATATATGATTTAATATAGCTGTACAACACTATGCACTTCTAAATGAATCCTCTACGATACAATACAAACATCACAATAGCTTATCTCCTTTTTTTCTTGTTTGCCACACACGTGATTATATTAGAAATTCTATACGGACTAACGATTAATGATACCAATAGTCGAAGTTCGAAAAGCATTTGCGAATTGTTCGCGATGTTAAAACGTATACTTAAATTTCACACACTGATTTGAAAGTCTCGATAACTATTGACTGCAAAGATTATGTGATATAAATGACAATAGATAATTTTTATGATTCTATGTAGTTCTCTCAATCGATCTAACCTGATGATTGACTTATTCTTACAATTTTTATTTTTTATTTATTAAACTGCACATCTTAGGCCCGGTCACACGCGCAAATTCTAGAGAGGTTAATAATCAATGCGAATATATTTAAAAGTAAAATTCTCGAGAATAATTTTTGGACATTGTGTTGAGAGTGAAAATTACTTTTGAAAGCAAAAATTACTCTTAAGAGATGTACAAGAACCCGAAAATATTGGGATACTCGGGACGGGTCGGATTGGCTCGGCTTGGATCGGCTTTGCTCGGGTTAACTCGGATCGCATCGGATCCCGAAAGTATCTCATAGTTCGAGAATTATTCTTGAAAATATTAAAATTTTCTAAAATTTCCAGGAATTGAATAACATTTTTGTACATTGTAGAAGTATACTCGTTTACAAAATTGAAAGAAAAAAATTCTCTTTCCTAAATTTTCAGGAATTCTGATATCGAATCATGAGATACTTTTGGGACTTTGATAAGATGAATTCTCAATTTGATCTGACTTGACATTTTTGGATTCTCGCACACTAATCTCTCGAAAGTTTTACTCTAAAATGTATTTGCAACTATACAATGTAATACGATACAATGTATATCGATGCTCGTATGACCGAACTTTTATATACAATGAAATACATAAAGCTAGCTGTACTAACAATATCTAGAAATTTCTCTCTCTATTAATATTCTAATATATAATGCGTGAAAGGAATGATTCTGTTTAATGAGAAACAAGCAGTATAATTGCGAATAAAATAATTAAATTTATAGTTATTCTCTAATAGTTACGAAATTAGAAAATCTCTATCTTTAAATTCTTTGCAAATTTTTTTTTTTTCTTCATTTGTTTTCAAGATGGACTGTGTTCCCACGACTGTTTCTCGTTCGGAATACTACGAAAGTACTTAAAAACATTCAAACGTTCGAATTAATATGATCCGCAGCGACGTACAATATATCAGAAAATATCACGAAGATATTAGAATTCTTTTACACGAAATTGATCACGATGTTAAACATTTTTAATATGAAACTGTTTTATTGAAGAATCGTTTGCATTTAAAAGAACAGTCTCGATTTAAAGGTCCTCCTCAAGATTCTCGCGAACTTCTTCGTGAAGTTTCTGTCAAAATATATATATTTGTATATTTATATTTTTTTTTTGTTGCTCGTAAAAATTTACATCTATGTGATTTATCGATATGCACCCAAAAGCTTATCGTAATAAAGCGAATATGTTATGTGTTATATCTGACTTATCAGAAATATCAGATCGCTTAGATGAAAACATGCGCCGAATAGCGTACAATTATACTGGTTATAGACATAGAGATTGGTCGAATTTTTCATTGATGGGTCGATATATGTATACACTTACCAAGAGCGCAAGATGAAGTTTCGAAAATCGAATTCTTCGCAGAAAAGCTATAAATTTTCTTTTATCGATCGAGTAACGGTTATTGTACACTTATGTATATTTTATTCAGTGGATAATGGTCCTTTGATTTCGTAATTGATCTTCATATATATCTTGCCGATTTTCGTAGAAATTCAATATTTTTACAAAGTAGTACATTACGTCAAAGCAAATTTTCTCAAGGTTTTCTTTTTGGATCATTTCTATAAATTTTATTGCACTATAATTTACTACAACCAAAAAAGAAAAACACTCGACCTACATATATAAGATGGGAACAAGAAATTTTAAAGGGTGTTTTTTCGATTTTATTTTAAGTTAATTTTATATCGTTAAGAACTTAAAGATGAGAAACCAAAGCACCATTGAATGTTATACATTTCTATGAGACATTAATACAGTTATTACATCTACCATATACACACTTTTTAAAACACATTAGGTAGATCTCTCGTATCAGACATCTGTATATATTCATCGTATAATATTATACTTAAATTACCGATAATTTATTTTGCTGGAATGAATTTTTAACTTTTTAAATATTGATTTTTTTTATTAGAGAAATTAAGATTTCGTGTTCAATTAATTCTTAGAAAAATAAAATTGTTAAAAATATATTATTATTATTATAATATAATGATTGTAATTTATGAATCGTATTATACGAGAGTTTCTTCTATGATGCACAATTTAATTTCATTAATTTAAAAGTTATGTATAGATAAAAATTAAATGAATTATAAATTAAAAAAGAAAAATTGTTAAAATTGAAAAAATTATTAAAATTATCAAAATATTATACGAAAATTCGGTATTAAATTCAAATCTGAATTTTTAATATTTACAAAAAAATTTATACAAAGAAATTACACATAAGTATATAAAAAAAAAATTTTACGTATATAATTAACAATCAATCCAGCAAAATAAAGCTTGTTACATTATTATAGATATAACACACTATATAAAAATTTGACAATAACATTCGCAAATATATTCGCCATATTTAGCGAATATAACACTAATATTCGCATACACACGTATAAACTTTCAAAATCTATTTGGCACTCTCCTAGTTTCATCAAAAAGGCGAGCACGCTTGCTATATTCATCAATTCAAAGACATTGCATCGAGTATAGCTTTACTCCTTCGCTACGTTTTTGCTTTATACTATACTTTAAGTTTTTCCTTAACGTTAACATTGGTCTAAGAGGATATTTTCTTTTTATTCTGTTTATTTTGCATAAAAAATATCAATTGTTACTTCGCGAATGAATTATTTCAACGTTCATTTGTCTTGCTATAATATATGTTATTGTAAATAGAATTTATCCAGTCATGATATTTGAGAAATAAAATTTAATAATTTAATATATATCAATATATATATGCAACATATAGTATATATGTATATTTCTTTTTGGTCTTCGGCGTTAATTTTAAAATAGATATAAGACATTAATTTTTATAAATAATTTTTGTGATTTTGACTAAATTTTGATCTTTAAGCATTCGATAACAGATTCTTTTGATTTTATAAGTAATAGATTTGATTATGTAATTTTTTTTGATGCAAAAATTGATTTGCAAAAATATATGTAAATAATTTGGAAAGAAAAAAATATTTTTATTTATATTACAAAATGAAATAAAGAAAATTGAAAATTATGAAGCTAGTGTAGATAGTATTGATCGTGTTGTAAAATTTCTTTAAATATTTTTAGTTACTTTATTTACATGAGTTATAGACTAAGATAAATATCTTACGACAAAAGCACTATTCTATATAGTCAGTACAGTATATATTCTGTTTCGTGTATAGACTTGCTGGATTCAGACAAAGAAATAATTTACTGTAAATATTTATTTTCCAATTTTTGATCTTGCAAATTATCCTTTGTAATTTAAATATAATCTTCTTAAATTGTTAATTATCGTTAAATATTCATTATTAATTATTTTAATTACATTCGAAGCTTTTTAAGTTTGATTCACTGCAAAATTATAAACTCTGGAGTATGGAAGAACAATTAATCATATATTTTAATTTATCTCTTTTTTTAATTATTCTCTTTTAGAATAGATTTTGTTAACGTATAATTTTGGTACAGAATATTTTTGAAGTGCACTGTAGCATAGATCGTAAATGACCTAATTGTTTTAGCGGATAAAATTTATTACAATTGCAAAATTATCACGAAATTTAATAACAATTAAAGCACTGGTTGTTGCATAAGCTCGTGATTTATTTAGAATTCTGCTTACAATTTGATTTTGCGGATATTATGTTTTCGATATTAATGAACCGAGATCGATGCGATAAAAAAACGAATATTCTTCGAAAAATATTTCATTCCTTGGAAAAATTTAATTCTCAAATTTCTAGAAAAGACTTTTTATTCTTAAATTTTCAATTTTATATTTTGATCTTTCGTTCTTTTTTTATATCGATTTATAAAGAGAATACAAATTACTTTCTCAATATTTAAAATTGACAATTGAATTGTTCGTTTATTTTTAAATTTCAAAATAATTATTATTCATTTTGTACGCCTGTACCCAGCATTTCTGTGAACTGTATTATTCTGATCCACTATTTCGTGTGTCATGTACGTCTGGAATACAAGAATGAATTGTAAACATACGAGGGAACAGATTGTGTGGGTCACTAGGCATCGACACACATTGAAAACGATCCATGTTTTCAATTAATGGATCATTTTTATTTTGTCTCAATGTGTGTCGCGCATTTATATGTTGCATTTTGATTTCGAGCTGTCAGCCATTGGTTATTATTATTATTTTATTATTATTATTATTATTATTATTATTATTATTATTATTATTATTATTATTATTATTATTATTATTATTTCTTATATTATTACTTACGTAGTAGATTATTATTTCGTATTTTATTATTATTATTATTATTATTATTATTATTATTATTTTTTCATTTCCTTTAAGACTAGATATCTTAACGATAGATCATTTAAAGGCTGTCAAGTATTCCGTTTTAAAACGAAAATCAATATCACAATAGTGTGTATTAAAATAAATTATAGTACTTGTCTCAAATGTTAATGTAAATTATCGATTATTAATTATGTTTTGTTTAGATGTGATGATTTCTTTTTTTTTTTTTATGTAGATGTATCTATATTTATATTATGCGTGTAAATGCAACGATGTGATGATATGTTTTTGTTATATCAAATTAACAATTTTATATATATTTTTGGAATACGTTTTTCAATTTGTTTGCCTATAGTATGTAAATATATATATATATATATATATATATATATATATATTAATGTTAATATTATGTGCGACCTATGGCTATCGTTATTTTAATATATATATATGAATTAGATAATTTCGTTTTGAGGTTAAAAAAAGTCGTGGGACAGTTTTTAGATTTTTTTTTCTTTAAAAATTAGAAGAATTTTTAAAAGAAAATTGAAGATCAGTAATCCAACCTAACCTAACTAATTAATGGATGGCTATAGGATATTAATTTCATTATAATTCTAATATCAATAATTTTACTAAAAGATGCATATAAATAAAAATTTATCATTCAATACCAGCTAAATTAACTATTCACTAAAAAAAAAATTTACGTAACTAAAATTATTACAGTTTATACTATATCAGATATTAAATTTTTATTTGAAGATGTCCAAGAGCTTTTGAGCTTACATACACTTTATCGTCATTCAACAGATGTAAAAAAAAAAGCTCATACAGGACATTAAACTGCTTCCTGCGCGAAACGAAAATATCAATTGACAATTATTTTTTTTCTTAACAGACTCAAAAAAATATATTCTTACATACTCATGATAGATTAAATTTAATTCTCAATGCATTTTGCTTCATGTGACTTTAAGAAGACTATTTTATATATATATATTCTTTTTCGTTATATATTTTAATTTCTAAATATCTCTTTTTATTAAGAGATTAAGAAAATTAAAAGAAAGAAAAATTTTCAATATAATCTTTCTTTTTTTTTTTTAAATTAAATTCGAAAATAATAAATTTTTTTCTTTCGAACATCAACATGCTATACATAACATCGTGTATTATTCGTGATTTTCAATAATTTTATATCTAATCATTTTCACTTTAATCGAAGCAAAAATGTTCCTCACGTTACGAAAACCGGTATCGCCATTATCGCGATACTGTATGCTAATAAATATAACTACGTAGCTACTGTTTGTCCTGTTCGTAGGTAAAGAGAGCTCTCCTTCCCTTAACAAACTATTATTAATTTTCACGATGCTTAATGGCGACATATTATGATCATTTATTAGCAGGAAGCAGAATATCGCGTTTCATATTTAATCCTTTAACCCTTTAACCGGTCAAACGAGTCAATTCGTCACTTGAATCAATGTTAAATCTCTTAATTATTCCTTTATTTATATCTCATATAATTTTCTGTTAAAAATAAATTATTCTATTTTTTTTTTTTTTTTTTTTAAGAATAAGATCATAGAAATAATTCTTTCTGTTATTACTTTTGCTAAATCTCTTCTGTTAAAGTAATTTGATCGAAATTTATTCTTCTAGATCAATATAAAATTCCTTCTGTAATAATTAAATAAATTAAATCTTAAATATTTTTTTTTACATTTGTATAAAAATGCATACTTGACAAGTGAAAAAATAATTGCAAACGAAGCTATAATAATACAGGATTGAAAATCTGTTGTTGAAAAATAAATAAATTTTCAATATAAAATAATTGCAAACAAAAGTGTAATAACACAATTGTTGTGTTTTGATCTGAATTAATTTTGATTTTGGCGAATGTTGAAGATTTTGGATGAATAATAATTCCGGTTAACAGGTTAAACAATTTCTTCTCTTCTATTCCAAATAAGCATACCCACGAGCATACGATATGGTATAATTTGTTCACACAAAGACACTCGCACAAACAGTCAACGATGGGGAGGGCGTATCTTATCTAACATTTGCAGGATTTTTTTCCTGTGATGAGCGACATTTTTAGCTGCCTTAATAAAAATTGTACACCATTCTCGTCGCGTGAAACGCGAAGGTGTAATCTCGTATTTTTTTTGTGTTTCAACGTGCAAGCGGCTATTCCGATTGGAATTAACAAACTATGATGATCAATTTTTATTTCTTCTTTGTGTGTTGGAATTATTTCTCATTTTATTACTTGGTGTTTTTTTTTATTTTTTTTCTTTTTCTTTTTATTTTTTATGCTGTGTAATATTGCTTGTTTACTCTTTGACAGTGTGTGGTAAATAAGAATATTTGAAATAGGTAATTTGGAAAATATAAATATTTTTTTCAAAATTTTTGAAAATACCAACAGATCCATCTTTCCTTTGAATTGAAATTTTGTGAATTATTTGACAGTGTAATTAATGGATTTCACCATTGGATTCAAATTCGTTCGCTAACATCGTCGGCAAGTAACAGATCTCTGATGATTTCGAATACACGACAAAACACGACTCGATTACACTAAAAGCATCATTCCAACATGCTTCAAAAGAATCTTCCCTTCGCAATTATATAAACTTGTTAATAAAATCTCTCCTTTTACTTCTGTCTTCACACAACATTCTCTATTATTATTTTTTTAATTCACATACTCACATTCACAAACTATAAATAGAATATTCAAATTAATTTGAAAATAATATATAACACGTGATATATGTATATGTGATTCCTCATAAATTTTTGTATCAGTACACAATCAAATAAATAATATAACGATATGATAAATTATCATTTTGATCAGCGTGCAACAAACACAGATATGTGTATAAATGTCCATAAAGAGGATATTATCAAGATGTGAAAGAAATTTACAGAATTGGCATATGGCGAATATAGTTCACCATGGATGAAGTAAGCCATGTCCAGGCTCGTTTCCGGTTCACCCCCTTCACCAACGTCCACGCTAAGACCTTGAAATTTACAAGGTCATACGTGGAGAACGGTGGAGGGGGTCTGGCCGCTATGCTTGATCCACCTCGTGACAGACCTCCATATAGTCTGGGTTGTGCATTATATCCTTGATCATGTCCTTTAGGATTGGATAACGAGGAAAGATTGGATACACTTTTGAGCTATTGTACTCCTCCTGTAGCAGATGATATATTAATGTTATCAAGGTGATAAATTGGATCTTGATTGTATAGTTGCATAGAGTGATAATTAGGAGAGAAAGATGAGAAAATTATGTTTGATCTTCTTTGATTGGAGAGAGATTGGTAATTTTACTTTTAATTTAAGATAGTTTTATCTAGTTATAGGTGAGAGGTATCATTTCTTTTTATGATGATTCTTATTGGGCCTAGATTTTTAGATTTATAAAAAGCAAAGATTTCTTTATTTTATTTAAAAATTAAAAAGATTCATAGAATTCTTTTTATTGAAAAATAAAAAAAAATATTAGATAAAGTATTTTAACTAAAAAAAAAAAAGATAAAAGTTATGATTATAAATATATTCTTTCATATAATATAACTAGTTTGGTAAAAGTATAAATATAAATTTCATTAAGTTTTAATCATCAAATATTCCTTATATACATGTAACTTGTTAATTTTCAAATAATATCATTTTATATTTCTTTTCAAACTATGTAACTTGATAATAAATCTTTTCATAAGCTTCTGTTTCTTTTCAATTCAAATAATACAATATGTACAATAAAAAATATATGGATAAATATATATATAAAATAAGGTGGTTTAATAACTGGATACTGATTAATTCAATTGAACAATACAGGTGAGACAAGTTACAAATAAGAAATTCTTTCTTGACATTTTACAAAATATAATAAGCTATTGTTAATAATTCTTCAGAGATGTTTCAAATATATTCTTGAAGATTATTTATTCATTACTTCACATTCAGTTTCGATGAATGTGCAAAAAGAAGAGTTAGTGGTACTTGGTTCACTTGTATATACCTTTAAATCTCGGATGAGATTTCTCAGTCCTGTATATTTTTTCAATAATCTATAAAGGTCGTTAGTCATTTGCGTGTTCTCTGCTTCGATTTGGGCTGTTGTCATACCTGTGCATATTGAAACAAGTCGATATAGAGATAAATCAATAATGAATAAGCATAAGTTGCATTCGATTAAAATGAATTTTAGATTAAAATTATGAATAATAAAGCTAGCATTACTTTTATAAAATATAAAGCTAGTATTACTTTCACTAAATATATTATGGCTTTTCTATGAGGATAAATTTGAAGTACGTACAATAATGTTGAATGACAATACCGTCAGAATACCATAACCGATCTCTTCTTGTCCCTATCGAGCACGTATGATAGTAGGTAATATATTATTCATGCTTGGAAACTTTCCAAACGACAGCCATCGAGTTGTGTCTTTTCCTCACAATTTGTCCAACAATTTGAAATATTGCTCGCGTTCACGATTAAACGTTTTATTTTCTTTTCCATAAAATAATAAATTAAACAATAAATTTGATCTTTTGTTTCATTTAAATTTAAAAAATTATACACCTAAAATTTTAAGCATCTATATCTGTCTTGTCTATAGACTTCTCTTAAAGTATATATTATATATATATATATGGAGTGTTATTATATTCATGGAACTTTGAAAGTTCATTCTTCAATCCAAAAATAAACATAAAAGTTGGTGTAGAAAAAGTTTTGAAAGTTATTCGTAGTTAAATTCCAGACTTATTAAGCAATTTAAGTTGGATGAAGTGAGAGTGAAATAGAATCAGATGCTCATAATCGTGAAAACAGAGATAGCGCTATCTAACATAAACTTTAATGTATCTTTATAACTCGAAGTAAATAAACTCTACATTACAATTCGACTACATTTTTGTATTTGTGTACTTTTCTTATCTCTATAATTGACCTTCTAAAGGTAAGTACTCTGATTATATATTTTTAAAAAAATTTCAACTCACTCTCGAGTCTTTCAATGCGTTCTCTCTTGGTTTCAGCTTCTTCGGCCAGTCGGGCCGAAGTCTTCACACCTTCCCCGCTTTTGTGGGTCTTCTCCATAATGGAACAGGCGCGCAGGACAAAGGCAGGCACGGTCTCCTGTTTCTCCTGCTTCGGTATATCCACCAGAGTCCAATATTGGGTCTCCAACTTGATCACATCCTGAAAAAGAAGACACATCTGTATAAAAACACATCTATATACAAATATTTATTAAAAATATGTTAAAATTAGGCTAAAGTTAATTTCAGATTCAAACGTTGAATTAGATTATGAGAATGCAGGCTTAATATATGAAAAAGAAATTTTAATGGATTTTAATAATAATTGAAATTTAGATTTTAGAATTTTAGATTAGTTTAGATAGAGTTTAAATTTCTCAAATTTTGAATATATAAGGGTTATAATTAAGTTGAAATATGTTGCAATCAGTTTTTGTTCAATACGAATATTTCTTGAAAAGAAAAAATTATGGTTACCTTAATCATTAGTTTTAAGAGGTTGTAACGTTGAAACACGTTGCGTACTTGCTTGCTGTCGGTATATTTGCACATAAGTTCAACGAGGGCACGTTTCGCAATCTCGTAACTTCCATCGAGGCGTATCCTCACGATTCTTAGTCTCTCGTTCGTTTCAATCACCTCTTCCTTAGTTTGTCCACCTGTTTAAGAGTTTTAAGAGTATGCTTAAAATTTTTGTATAAAAAATTCTACAAGATACATTCCTATCGTGCACGACAAATCAAAATTGACTAGTTGCAGATTTTTTATTCTCAAGATTTTTATTCAGAAATATAATCATACATATTTTTATAACCATTGCGTTAATTTTGTCTTCAGATAATAATTTTCATCAAAATTTGTAAATTGTAATTGATTTGTTACATTCGTCAAAGTATTTAACTCTCCATTTCTGTTACAATATGATCTTTAAATTATTTTAAACGATATACATTAATAGTAAAAATATTAAGTAAAATTAATATGAAAAATTGTATACATACATACAAACAATTCTAGATAGTATCTGTATCACATGAAACAATCATGATCAATTTTAAAGTACATAAAAAAAAACTCGTTAAATTGCATTAATCTTGGTATTAAAAAAATAAAAAAAAGATGTACTGAAAATAATATTATCATTAATATTATTACCATCATTATCGAATTATTTATAATTTAAGAAAAAAATAAAGAGTCGATAATAAAGGGACTCAAGTTGCCTTGTCACGAGCATCGCCATTACTTCATACCATTCTTTGCCCTTAACCCTTTGCCGATCCTCGAACATTAATAAGCGATGCAATCTCCACATACACATGCACGTGCAAACACGTTGTGTGTCCATTCACCAAGCCGGTTTAATAACATTATTGCTTTCAGCCGTATCGTGTACGCCTAATGAGAAAATTGATGTTGCCGCTTGGTTACAGGGAATTCGTTTCTGTTTTAATTAAACCTCTCCTTTATTGCCGTTGAAGAAGGTAAGTGCATGCTTTATTCGTGGATTTATGTTAAACGAAAATGGTTCGAATTATATTATTGGTTAATAAATGATTATTCAAATATTTCAAATATTTATAACGAGATGGAGCAAAGTTATTAATTAATTTTTTAAATATTTTCCGTTCCGGTGTTCCGTTATAAAAAAAATATTTCCAGGCGAAATTGCATCAAAAATAATAAATATCGAATTTTTGATCGATTTTCCAAAAAAAAATAATTTCTTCTCTTCTTACAACGCAATTTCATATAAATTCACTAAAATTATAATTTCATAATTTCAAAATCGCATAATTTTTTTGAAATTAAAATTTTTATTCAGACGAATTTCTTTTAAAAACACACCGTAGCGAAATTCATTGGAATTAAAACATTTTCGAATTAAGTAACTTCTTTAAAAATTGAAATTTTTTTTTCTTCAAATTTCCTTTCTAAGATATTACTCTTTCTCTAAATTATCAATCCGTCTAATAAAATATAATATTTTTTGTATTCGAAAGTAATTTAATTCGAGAAAGGTACACGAACCGTTGATCCGGCTTTAACGAATTTATCCCAGAGGAAACGTTCGCGACTATTCCAAGTGCAAATACCACTCTTGACGCGTCGTTATATCAACTGACCGGGTGTAAAAGCTTCTGCTTCAATTCCATTCATGAGCTAACAGCCGACCACCACCTGGCACCCGGCCAATACCTTATTTCCAACAGTTGTCGGCGCACGAACATCTTCTTCGTCTCGATTCTCTTACATTTCGCTATCCCGCGGACAAATGCTTCGAGAAATCGAAATCGAGAAAGAAGAATAACTTTTTGAAATTTTTTTTCTCATTTTGTTTTAACGCGAAATAAAAATTCTCATCGGAATTTGGTATTGGAATATTGGAAATTGATGATAATATCGATAATACAACGCAAATGTAAGTCTATTTTTTAAAAATAGTATATTTTATTTTAGAGACTTACTCGATGTTCCTTCATCCTTTACATCTTGGACGATTCTTCGAACACTTTGTGTAAATTTGCCCATAAGATTTGTGCCCGCTGAAAAAAAGAAAATAATTATAATTAAGAAATATAAATAAACAAAGATTATAGATTTTGTTAAAAAAATATATCAGAAAAGTTTTTTCTCCTCTATAGATCTTTGTCTAAAAAGTGTTTATTTAAATTTTTATTTAATTAAAATGATAATACGATAAAATTTTATAAATTAATGTTTATTCATAATGAAGTAATTCGATATAATAACTATTTTTTTTTTTATGTCAAAATATATCCAAGTTAATGTGTTACAACATAGTAAAATTTCAAATGGCTCGTTTTCAGTTCATCCTCTGTGAAAGCAGAGAAATGTGCAGAAGGAATCCTGTACATATTTTTCAGTGGGTAAAACATTTTCGTCAGAAAGGAGGAAGTATGTGTTGGTGCACATCTATTGGTCGGTTGACATAAAACGCGATAGGGCAGAAGAGCGAATAAAGCTTCTTAGTCGTAAAACATAGAACTGTCCTTAAGACCACCGAAGTAGGCTTTTAAAAGCATTTGAAGCTTTCTCTGGAAGATAACCTATTGTCCATAATACTTGGGAGACTTCTGTAAAAGCACCACTGTCAGATATACATCAGACTTAACAGTTGGCAAACTACTCTCTCTTGAAAGTGTACACAATTTTAGTGAGAATATTCTTATGTTGGTGTACTGAAAAGATAGCACTCAAGATTGTACATAGTCAAGATACTATAGTTAGGTTAGATTAGGTTAGATTAGGTTAAGTTTACACATTTATAAAATATTCATTACTATATAGGATCATTTATATTTTATAAAAATTTCACGTGCCAAATTTAATATTGTTTATTGAATTTATAGGATTTAATAGAATTGCTTGAGTTTTAAATTGTTTTGCAAAAAAATTTTGAAATTTGGTATTGAGCACAATTTTTTCATATTAATATTATTTATACAGCTTTATGAAATCTCTTACGTGATTTATTCGTTAAAACGTTTATGATAGGATATAATTATATATTGAAGCAAAATCATGTGGAAAATAAATGGTAATGGTTTGTTAATAAGAGTATCCTAAAATATATTTTATCTTTGTATTATATATCATCTGTTCAGTGCATTTATACGGTAAATCTGCGGTCGCATTTACGAGCAAAAGAGCATTATTTGGTATCGTTGGAAGAATATGATTTGCGTTCACGAACTTGGCTGGTTGCCAACATGGGATAACCTAAACTCGCGCCATTATTCCGAACAATGATCTCGTTAAGAGAATGATCACATTTTATCATTGGAAATTTGTAATAGTTCTTATCTAAATAATTTTTTTTAAATATTAAATAGATTTAATTATTTTTATAAAATTTTTTTTCCAAGATTTAATCTAAAATTAAATTATTGTATTAAAATGATTTTTAAAAATTTTCCTTTGATCCTTTTTCAGTAATATTGTTCTTTATTTCATTTATTTTCATTCCACATGCTTCTTCATTATAGTTTTAATATAATTAAAATAAATAAAATGGAAAAAGATTATCTGTAAGCTTTAATTTTTAAATTTTATTATTGATAATTACTTTTTATTTTTCCACTTTGTCATTTTTCTATTTTGTTAATTTTTTTTCATATTTTATGAGAAAAAAAAAATTACTTTTCACGGATGGTATCTGTGCAGAAAATTTAAATTTTACAATGAAATCTCAATTTTCCTCGACGTTTCATATTTCGCGAGATTGGCGCGCGCGCCAAATTCAAATCGAACGTCAGCGCGTTGACATGTTTACCTTCAATTCGCCACTTGTTTAATTTTGATTTTTGCGAAAATTCTATCGTGAATGAAGAGTGCGCGCATACACATATATATTTGAAGTAAAGAATGTGCCATCCTTAGATTGGTGCTATCAAGGGAATCGTGGAAGATCTACGTCATCCCGAATTTTCCTGTCTGACTATTCGGAAAGTTTGGATGTGGATATTGAAATTCATCACGGTGTCTTCTACGTGATGTTTCTATTTTCGAAACTGCGTCCTTTGCCTTGAGAAATAAGGAAAAAGTTTGGAAGAGAGATAAAATTGAAACATGTTTGACTAAACTTATCATATTGCATCTATGTAAAAATATATTTATAACAAATTCTACTTTTGCTTAATATTTAGTTGAGAATGATCACTTAATTTTTATGAAATTTTATTTTTTTCGATCTTTTATGCTATAAGAATTATTTATTATTTTATGTATAATATGAAATATATACATTGTGATGTATCGAATGTTTGTACAATTAGCAATTGGAATAGAGATGTCAAGTAGGAAACTTTCGTTTGTTTCCTCGGGCTAAGTGCCAAAATGCAACAAGCATTTTCGATATTCTCCTTTCATTTGGAAGAAGAGACATCCTGTCCAATTTGTTTAAAAAGAATTCTAGTAATTTTTAGTAATATTTTCTTCTTTGTAAAAATTGTACGTATAATTATATTTTTTATAAAAAAGACAAGTTTTAAAAATTTTAGTAGACAGTATTCGACAAGGAAAAAAATTTCTAATAAATATAGATCGAAAAATAAATATTTTAAACAATTTTATTTTCAAGTGAATACTTTTTTTCTAAAACGAGCTACTAGCACCACACGTAATAATTAACTAATAGTATTCAAATATTTATACGTATATTTATTCATTCAAGTTATATTTGAAAAATTCATAAAAAATTCATTTCAATTAATACGAATGCAATTCATTCGAATTTTAGATCACAATTTTTCTCATAATATGATCCGAATTAAAGTCTTGATTAATACCGTTTTATGAACCATTATCAACTAATAAAAGTTTGGTCTTTTCGTTTATCGTTCGATACAGACAAAAAGTTAAAGCGATATACCAGGATTGATCGTAAAATCCTCGTTCGAAGTGACGAGTTCTCCTAAGGATAATAATCCAAAGGAGGCAAAATGCGTCGAAATACTCTATTTTTTTTTCTTCAATTTTCCAGATTTTCGCTTTAATAGCAGTAACCCCAGCGAATCGTTAAGGCTCGTAAGAGGGTCGTTCGAGCTCTCTAACTTTAACCTTGGTTTAACGTAGTAACCACCGTTATATTCCTCGTAACTGTGCAACTTCCGGCGAAATTATAACGAAGTATATATAAGTATAGTTCAGTATAGCTATGTTATGGCTCTTTTTTTACAGTTTAATTCGATTCTTGTTTTATGAAAGAGAACAGTGATTTTTGTTACCAATTCTTACACATGTATTACAATTTTATTTCACTTTTTATATATGGCTTTTTTTAGCTTTTTTTATATAGGAAGCAATTGATTTTATCAATTATAAAATAATAAAAAAGATATGACTTTAAGAATGAATAATACTTTAAATAAAAGAAAAAAAATAAATTAATAAATATGACAAGATTAATAATTCAAAAGATTAATATTTTTTTAAAAAATTATAAACAATTTTTTTTTCAATATCAAGGACTGGCTTTATTATAACAAGGACTGGAATTTTATTATAACATTTTAGACAAAGAGAGCTTAAAATATAGTTTTAATGTGATATTTAACTTCAATTTTGAAAAAAATATTAAATCATGTGACTAATCATCGTCATTTATAGATTATCGACTGATGATAATTAAATTAAATTAATATTAGTATTATAATTTGAATTTTTTTTTTTTAGTTAAATTATTTTTTATTTAATTTTAAATGTCCAAATATTCCCTGACATATCTCGTACATACCAAAACTATGAAATTTCTCCGCGTACATGCAGATGACGTTCCTCGCGCTGTTGGTCTAATTATTCCAGAAATTAAGTACACTCGTGCGCGCGTAATCCTTTGCTCGCATATACCGTAGTAGTTGTACTCTTTGAATCCATCCTTGCGTATTTAACGCGCCGCATTTAAAATTATTCTGATAAAGCGAACTCTAATTGCGAAACGATAAATTTATATGTTCAATCTATTTTGTGCTTTGTTACCGCATTATGTTATATGGAATAATGAGAAATTAAATTTCATAAGTTTTAGGTTAGGTTAACACGTTGCTTTTTGTCTGACTGTATTTAATGTGAAATTATGAGAAGATGAAATTTTTTTTTTTTCTCTTTCCTTTTATATTTTTAAATACTTTTTAGTGCTTTGTTAATTTTCTGCCCATTTAATAAATTTCTAGAACTGGAATTTTAGAATATTAAAATATAATTCAATTGATTTTTGATCCTATAATAATTAATAAAGCATTATTATATTATATATGTTTTTTTTAATAAATTAGACTTATAAAAGAAACTATTAATGTATTAATTATTGGATTATTATCAATCAAAATTTATAATATAAAATTATAATCTTTCGAAAATATATTTTTTATTCAAAAAAGTATATTTTCAATAATTGTTAAACGTAAAAAAAAAAAAAAAATAAATATTTCTTTGAATTTTTAATGAAAATATCTAGAAAATTAAAATATTTTTTTTAACTTTATAAAAATTATATTTTTTTATTGCTCTTTAATCATTACTATTTCATATAACTATCTCATCCTTTCCTCTTTAAATAAAAATACTTCCTGTTAAGTTTTCCATTTCCATTATGCATTATACATTCAAATAATAATAAGTAAGTAGATATAATTCAGGAAGAAAGGCAGGTAAAAGACATTCAATGGGAAATATTAAGGTGGTTAAAGTGGCATTAAAATGACTGAAATCTTTATTTCAAAAGAACTTCTTACAACAGTTTCATTGAACCTTATTCAATTTGATCTTCTTTGATGCTTAACAAAAAGAAGAATTATTTTCTTATATAAAATATCTGTATAAAGTGATTAAAGCTTTTTTTTAATCACTTTAATCTGTGTGATCTATTCTTTTTTCAATTTTTTTTTATATTTCTTATTTTCCAATGTATTTTTATTAATATTTATATTATATATAAATTTATTTGAAAATAAAAATCAAAGTATTTAGTATTTTTTTTATTTTTATACGTTTTTAATATTATATTTTTTTTACTATTATAATTATATAAGTTCATCACTTTATTGATTTTATATTTACTAAAATACTATATACCTAATACTTATAATAATTGTATGATTGTATAATCTTATGTACAAGTAGTATATACTTAGATTAGGTATCATCTTGTCTGACCATATACGAAACGTAACTACTTAAATTATGAATAGCAAAGATACAATAATTCGATTAATGATTACTAAACATTGAAAATATATAAATTAAATACATAATTTAATAATATATTTAATAATTTCCAGATTTATATTTATTCAATTTTGATTATATTTATTCAATTTATTCAAATGTAAAATCGATAATAATTTCTCTCTTTCCTTCTATCAATATGATATATAAAATTTTAATTTTAATTGGTACATTCACAAATATGAATGAAAACAAATAATCTCTATAAATAATTGAAACGATCTTTAATAAATATTATTGTTATAATAAAGAAAAATTAATTTATATTGCAATATACTATAATTGATTTTTCAAATTTTAAAGCTTTTTAATTATATAGATATTAATTTAAATAAAATTATAGTCGATATCTGCATTATAAATTATTAATATATCTGAAACATGATATATTTGTGATGTTTAATCTTGAAATGACAGTCTTGTGAGTCGGCCACCATAGCTACGCGATATTATTGCAGGATTTAAGAGAATAAAGGGGCTCTGAAAGTTAAAATTGAGCATTAGGAGCGTGAAGCGGATATAGCGCTAGAGACTTTTCCTTTAAAATGGACGTGTCACGCTTGAATATAGAGCAGAAATATACGTGGTCCGAACAAAACGTATATATTTTTTTACTGAAAGAGAAATTTGTTTTTTTAAACAATTTTTAATTTTTTAAAATATATAACTTTCTCAAAAGTATATTATATTTTCATTTTAGAGATTGAAATAATAGATATAGCGTAAATTGTAAATTAAATTTTAAATCATAATTTTCCTTTCTTTCCATTATTTATAATTTCTTTCGATCGAAATTCAAAAGCAAAACTTTATTTCATAATATTTCAATTTCAAACGTTTCAAAAATTCTTTCCAACTCTCTAATTTAAAATGAAACAATCCGTTTCACTTTACCTTGTACCACGTTTTATTCACCCATATTTTTAACTTAACCTAAACTAACTAACCTCCAAAACTTGCGTCAAACAACGAGACGATCCAGAGGTAACGACTCGCGAATACGCGCGGAATTTGAATAATAAAACAGTCTCTGCTATGCCCAAATGCTTGTATTAGAGGAAGCAGGGAAAAAGCAGGTTTTTGTCCACGTTGTCCGGCACCATTGTGGTGGACAAACGTTTATTTCCGGCCGAGCTTTGAAAATCAGTAAACTGTGCTTTTTATCGGGGGCATGTGAGCGCTCGAGCAGGGATCAAACGTATCGACCGCAATTCTGCGGTTCTCGTACGAGATCTCGCGTAGTGGTGGGGAGAATGGGCGCGACTATGCAGATCACGGATCTAATTACCAGATACGAGCATAGAGGTCTACGAAAATTGGTCATCCGTGAGGCGTCCAATTTATTTTGTGGCCGGATTTCACGCCGCTTCTTTGGTGGATGGATGATGATTTTATTGTTTAGAGCGTGAAAAGATAAATTGAGGTGAAGTATGAAAGGATTTTTTTGTTAATTTGTCTTGTAAACATAACCTATAAAATTTTTTTACTTGACTTTGTACAGTAGTAAATATATTTTAATCTAGTTTTCTTTTCAGCTTTGAATAGTGAACAGTATATATTTTGTTGGATACGTTTGTGATATATTCGATAGTTGATGTGATCTGTTTACAATTAATTATTAAAATTAATGGAAAGAGAAATCTTGTAAGAAGATTTTTTAATTGCTCTTTCATATTTTCTATCACGTTTGAACATGATACATTAATAATGAATGTTATATATATTTTTTTGTAAAAAATTCTTTAGAGGTAAGAATAGATATAAAAAATGATTAAAAAATAAATAAGATATCATGGAAATTAATTTGTAATCCGGTCGTTTTTATCTTTTATCAAGAATTTGCATAGAAATCATAATTTTTCGCTTATGGAATATAGAATATACACGTTTTATAATACACATGCGAAGAAGAGAAGTAGTGGCAAAAATGATGACGGGGTTTTCGTTACGACTTGTGATACACGAACTGATGATTATCGCGAAGTCCAAGTTGGATCAGATAATGTTACAGGAAGCTGTAATCTTCGCCAATCGTTTTTAGAGAAGTTAAATAATAATAAATTTATTATTATCGGTATTAATTTTTTAGATAACAATAAGAGAATTTGAGAAATTCGAGATATTATGGTCCGGTATTGAGACCGACCAACACCAATCATTAACAAGATTTGGAAGGTTACGTTGTACAGAATTTCGTGGCTAAATCTGAGAAGATCCTTTTGTCAAAGCCCATCCCGAAAGAGGATGCTCTCACTTTGTGGTCTGCAAATGGCTACGAAATTTGTGCTCCCCAAAGTACCTCTCCTGGACATATGTCCAGTTTATACAACAAAAGACTTGAATAACATTTTGTTATATATACTTTTAACGGATTTGCACATCGTTTGACAAATTTTTTTTTGTATAAAAATATTTATATAAGAATTTGGTTGGATTTTAATAAAAATATAAGAGTAACATAAAAATTGTGTATTAATCGATTTTAAATCAATAAAATGATAATAATATATTGGAAAATCTTCTCGTTACAAATTCGCAAAGAGAAAATTTTACATGGCTAAATATTGATAACGAACTAGAACATAAAAAAAAGCAAATGGAAATAAATAAATCTAAAAAAAAAAGAATACAGATTTTTGAACATTAGGACAGAAATAAAAATTACAAAAATTTTCAATTATACAATTTATAGAATTTCCTCTTTGAAAACTCGCAAACGGAAATATCAAATTTTACATACGAATAAATGGAATAAATGATGACCACTAAATACATTGAATTCGAACGAGCAGAAAATTCGAAATTAAATAAAATCGAGATATTTTTAATATCGTTTTAAAATTTTCGAAATTTTCGAGGAAATCGATGAAAATTTCAATTAACAATATCAAGTTTTAAAGAATGTCTCTTCAAAGGTAGGCTTCCTCGAATCTTGAATCGTTAAAAAGAAACTTTGGTGAGGAGCAGAAAGTTTATCGGGTGGATTCGAAACGGTTGTGCGTGGATAACAGGCTTGGAGGCAGGAAGTCGATAAACGAGCGACATCTAGCGCGTTGCTACGCTCGATATTTTCTCTTCCAGCCAGAAAAATGTCGGACCCGATACGAGGGATCGTTTCTCCGTGAGATCGTACGATGATTCCTTCCGACACCCGAGGAAATATCCCTTCTTTCTTTCTCTCTAATATCACTCGAAACGATGAATTTTGTATCGAGTTGGATAGAAAGGTAATATCGTAGAACTTGATTATTAAACTGTTTCACATTTTTTTCTATAAGGAGAATGAAAAGAAAAATGTTTTATTAAACAATATGTATAATAATCAAGTTGGATAGAAATTTAATATTATAGAACTTGATTATTAAACTGTTCCTATAAGGAAAATGAGAAGAAAAATGTTTTATTAAACAATATATATAATAATCAAGTTGGATAGAAATTTAATGTTATAGAGCTTGATTACTAAACTGTTTCACATTTTTCCTATAAGGACAATGAGAAGAAAAATGTTTTATTAGACAATATGTATAATCAAGTTGGATAGAAATTTGATGTTATAGAGCTTGATTATTAAACTGTTCCTATAAGGACAATGAGAAGAAAAATGTTTTATTAGACAATATGTATAATAATCAAGTTGGATAGAAATTTAATGTTATAGAACTTGATTATTAAACTGTTTCACATTTTTCTTATAAGGAGAATGAGAAGAAAAATTTTTTTTGTTTTATTAGACAATATCTATAATCAAGTTGGATAGAAATTTAATGTTATAGAGCTTGATTATTAAACTGTTTCACATTTTTCCTATAAACACAATGAGAAGAAAAATGTTTTATTAGACAATATGTATAATCAAGTTGGATAGAAATTTAATGTTATAGAGCTTGATTATTAAACTGTTTCACATTTTTCCTATAAAGACAATGAGAAGAAAAATGTTTTATTAGACAATATGTATAATCAAGTTGGATAGAAATTTGATGTTATAAAGCTTGATTATTAAACTGTTTCACATTTTCCTATAAGAACAATGAGAAGAAAAATGTTTTATTAAATAATATGTATAATAATCAAGTTGGATAGAAACTTAATGTTATAGAGTTTGATTATTAAACTGTTCCTATAAGGAAAATGAGAAGAAAAATGTTTTATTAGACAATATGTATAATAATCAAGTTGGATAGAAATTTAATATTATAGAGCTTGATTATTAAACTGTTTCACATTTTTCTATAAGGATAATGAGAAGAAAAATGTTTTATTAGATAATATGTATAATAATCAAGTTGGATAGAAATTTGATGTTATAAAGCTTGATTATTAAACTGTTTCACATTTTGCTATAAGAAGAATGAAAAGAAAAATGTTTTATTAGACAATATATATATTATACATATAATATACAAAAATATGTATTTGAGATACATATTTACAAGTTCTAAAAATTGTTAATACAAACTTTGTTGCATGAAGTGTACTTATATACTTTATTTAGCTTCACTACAATGAAAAATAATGGATATAAGTGTAGACAAATTATAAAGTCATCATAGAAGATTTTATATCTCGTTCATAATTTTTACAACCATTTGAAATTTCCAATTTCGTATCCATTCAAGTTTCCATTGAAACAGTGTTAATAACGAGTGTACCCACCAAACCAAGCCAAACCGAATCAGTGATGTTATTACGATTATTAAACCGCGATTATTGGAATGCAAATTGTAGCTGCGAACCCGAATCGACACATCTTGTTTGCCGTACCAAGTTCCAGCTTTAATCGAGCTAATTCGCAATGGCAAACGTATTTCACCGCGGTAATAATAATAATAATAATAATAATTCGGGATTAACGCAAGAATCGGCAAATATTTGACTTCCTCGTGGCTTCGCCAGAGAAATTACTACTTAAACATGAATTCCAATGATAAGAGCTTACTAATATAATTAGAAGTTGAAACAAATATTCTTAAGTGATGTTTAACCAGATTCGCTGGTTTCAAGAGATTGGATTGTGATAAATGATTTATTTATTTATTAATTTATTAATCGACTCAAAGATTTACAGATTTTTTTTTATGATGATTTATTAACACGTATCTTATCTTTTACATATTCTTCAATATACTATATGTATTTCTTTTCGAGTTAAATAATTTTTTGAATCAAATTATATATTAATTATATTTTGTTAAATTTATTATAAATTTAATATAAAGTTAATATAAATGTATTAACATTCTTCCTTTAAATTTTGTAATTTAAGTAATTGGAAAATTTTTCTAATTTATTTATTCCTTCATTCCTTCAAATATTGAACTGAACTTAATCAAAATTTGCCTAATTCGTTCCTTTTTAATATCGCATCTAATAAAATTTATTAATCCCAGGAATATTTTCAGGAAACGTGCAGTTTCGTCCAATTCAAACAGCAAAACACCATAATTCAAACAGCAAAGCTCGGATGTATTGCACGCATAGGTGAATAAATCGTGTTCAAGTTATGTGGAATAATATGCACGATTGTTGAGCTTTTTGGCTGCAAATGTTTATTGCACAGCCTTTAAACTCGACCCGTTGATCCTCAATTAAACTAACTTGCCAACTTCTCTTTATTCATATTATATTGCCGTATTACCAGTGACCTCTCTCTCTCCCTTAACGCCATTTCGTGTTCTTTAATATTATAAGAGCGGATTGAACATGGAGGAACACGTGAAACGTGTTATAATTTTAATTTTGAATTTGTAAAGAGGTTGAATGGATCTGTGTTATAATACCAGGCTTTGAAAAGCGAAGATTGGATGGATCATTTAAATAAAAATTATAATAGAAGAGCTATTGATGTGTAAATGAATAATTTAGAGATATTACATTACTCAATTCTTAAATATTGAAAAATTATGATGTGAATAATAACAATTCAAAATATTTCAATTTTCTGAAGTTTAGAATATTATTTAATAGAAAATAATAGAAAAGCTATTGATTCATTGATGTATAAATGGATAATTAAGCAGAGATGTTACATCAGATGTCTATTGTTGAAAAATTATGATGTGAATAATAAGAATCCAAAATATTCCAATTTTCTGAAGTTTAGAATATTATTTAATAGAGAAGCTATTGATTCATTGATGTATAAATGGATAATTAAGCAGAGACGTTACATCAGATGCCTATTGTTGAAAAATTATGATGTGGATAAAAAGAATTCAAAGTATTCCAATTTTCTGAAGCTTAGAGTATTATTTAATAGAGGAGCAATTGATGTGTAAATGGATAATTAAGCAAAGATGTTACATCAGATGTCAATTCTTGAAAGATTATGATATGAACAAAAAGAATCCAAAATATTCCAATTTTCTAAAGTTTAAAGTATTAAGAACAAGGAATTTTAGGTAAAGTGCTATGGTATTAAACAATTATTAATTAATAGAATTAGAATTTATTACAAACAAATCATGAATTTTAGTCTCTAATGCAAATAATTAAATTTAACATTTGAATCAATTTACATGAACGTTTTTAACGTTCAAAAATATTGTATCCTTTCAAACCAATTAAATTCTCATCATTGGTAATTTGTAATTAACATCGAGTAAAGGACAATCTCGGCAAATATGCAAATTAGTAATTCAGTGGAAGGATTATGCTTGCAGGCGAACCGCGAAGAGCCATTAGGATTACGCTTATGGTTACGTTTACATCTTCCGTCCATCTGGACAGATATTCTGCTCCCATTGTTTGACCCTTTACCTCGAGGTTTCTACGTAGATTAGGTTGTAATTGTAGAATATCATTGTTATATCATGACGGTTTGTAATTCTGGTGAGAAAAATTTACACATTACAACTTATATATCATTAATCTGGTAATTTATGATTTGGAGAAGAAAAAGATATAGTATTTAAAAATTGTAATGAAAAACGTATCTTAACTTTTAAACTTTCCATATGACATATACTTTTAATTCTATTGAAAATTGTCAATATATGTCAAAATATGTCTGTGAAACTGTGTATCAATATTTTTCTCTCATTTTATAACAAAAAATTATAGAATAAATTATAGAATATCATTGTTATATCATATTGTAAAGATTTATAATTTTGGTGAGAAAAATTTACACATTGTAACTTATACATCATTAATTTGATAATTTATGATTTGGAAAAAGAAAAGGTATAGTATTTAAAAATTATAATGAAATATCTTAACTTTTAATATAAAAAATATCTTTACTTTCTATATAATGTATACTTTTAACTCTGTTAAAAGTTGTATTCCTATTAATAAATGTCAAAATTTGTGAACCTGTGTATTCTCTCATCTCACAACAAAAAACTATGCAAATTATGAAATAAAGAATGAAACAAAGGAAATGAGTATAACATATTTATAATATAATAAAAATTATATATATATAT